ATTTCTATCATTGACCTTCTACTTTCTCCCTATTTTGTATGTAGGCTCCTCTTAATATTTAAATGTTTTCATCAAATATAATTTATTCAACAACAAAATTCAATAACGTGCTTTAACGGGTTAAAAAACCAGTGGTCTAGTTAATAAAACATAATAATATCAAACATAATATGACTATTAACTTTATTGTGAAATTAAAACAGAACGGTAAAGAAAAATACAGTTTCAGTCTCTCGATTTGAAGCTTATGCATTGTACCATGAACCTGTATAGACCTGTAACAGTCAACTGCATGAGGAGTTGGAAAGGTAGTTCAGTAAATCAGTAATATCTTTAAAAACTACAAGTGTGTTTCTATCAGCTGTGCACCGTTATGGCGTAAATAGCCTATCTACCAATTGGATCAAATATAAAAGTCAGCCGAATTAGTGTTGATACTGCAAGGAGACGTATTGTGTGAAAAGAAATGGAAGATTTTGTTTAATTGCTGATATATTTATGATCCACGTCATGTTTTCAGTTTTGGCGGCAGTTCCTGTTTGTCTAGAAGTCTTCTCAGCAGGGCTCTATAAATAAAGAACTACGGCAGATATGTAATATTTAATGCAGCCGAACCGTGTATTACAATGCCGTTATGTGATGACTTCCAAAGAGAAAAGCAAGAACACTCGGAATAAAGTATTATTTTATTTTTTTAAATGTTTTCCGATTTCATATCGCATAAACACCATATCCCAACGTGCATTGCGGCTAAAACATCCAGGATTATGAGTGTAGTTCGATCAAAACCTCTGAAAAAAGAAATGTGTCTCTCAGAATTGAAAGGGAAAAACCTATGGGAAAAACACAAAAGCATTGTACACAATTTAAACCAATTAATGTCGTATAATTAACAAGGATACAATGATGTTTTTTAGTGGCTGAGTACTGCAGATATCACTGTTAAATCATTTGATCATTGGTTTTATTATGAAAACGTCGAGACCGGAAATACTGTTTTCACCCCGTAACTTTACATGGAAGCTACCGCATATACACGTTCTCCTGTCGAAACCTCAAATCATCTTCGTAATATCTATCAAACTATAGATCCTACATATCGACTGGACGTGGATTCTAAAAGTACAATATACACTTCTCGCTAGAAATCGAATCAAAAAGCATTTTAATGGCCAAACTATCCTACAATTTAGGATTTTACACAGAGGGTTATTTGTGAATAAACGACCCTCTGTAACATTTGCAATCAACGTGAGCACTAGAGGTCGAAAACTTTAAAACGTGATTATAGGTCGTAATAAGGGATTGAACAATTGACCTATCTGGTCGTATGAGTTGGAGGACTTGTTGGAACTTCTCCATGTTTAGTTCCGACTCTGGGGACAGAAAGCTGACCAGAAGACCTGGGTGGTTCATAATTTAGCAGGAGGTCAGAAATGTATTTTGGGCCTAAACCATTCAGTGCTTTATAAACCAGCAGCAGCATTTTGAAATCTATTATTTGACACACAGGAACCAGTGTAAAGACTTCAGAACTGGAGTGATGTGATCCACTCTTTTAGTGTTAGTGAGGACTCGAGCAGCAGCGTTCTGAATCAGCTGCAGCTTTCTAATAGATGTTTTAGGGAGACCTGTGAAGACACCATTACAGTAGTCCAGTCTACTGAAGATAAAAGCATGGACAAGTTTTTCCAAATCCTGCTGTGACATTAGTCCTTTAATCCTAGATATGTTCTTTAGGTGATAGTAGGCTGATTTAGTAGCTGTTTTAATGTGACTGTTGAAACTCAGGTCAGAGTCCATGACTACACCTAGATTTCTGGCTTTATCTGTTGTTTTAAACATTGCAGACTGAAGCTCAGCGCTGACTTATTACCTCAGTTTTACCTCAATTTGCAAAAATTGATTAAAGCCAATCTTAAAATGATTAAACAAACGCCTGTTTGCGACTCCTCAGTGCACACAAAAACATAACTCAGAGAAATAAATGAATACGGATATGTTATTGAAAACCACCTCGAATATGTTGTGTTAATGTTAAGAAATGTATTCTCATAAATGATGCGGTATGCAGAAGGACAGAATTACTTTAAACTGATGCCGTTTTGCTTTTCTCTAGGTTGTATAGATACGAATGGTTTTATATCATGTTTAATCGTGTTTTATGCCGTTTGCCAAGACTTGATAAGTCGCACACAAAACACAGAAGGTATGGAAACTAAGAACACCATATATTTGGTAAATTGTGCAGCTGATATAACACATTTTTTTATTTCCTTTAAGTGGTGGATATAGAGTTGCTGCGGGGGGGTTGAGAGGCACAGGCCGCAGTGGAGACGCTGCACACAGCAGATTGACAGCTGGAACACAAACCACAAAATAAAAAAAAAAATTCAGATCCAGTCGTCATGACACCACTGACCCCCGATAATTTCTTACAGTCTCATCATGGGGGGGGGGGTCTCCTGTCCCCGGCACAAACACACTGACACACTGCCTGAGGAAGGTTTTGTGTATTTGGTCATTAACTTTTTTCCGACCACTTATTTATTTTGGTGACGATCCGACCTCCATGCTGCTACTCTGGTTCAAACTGCATTCACCAAATCCTCAAAAGAACCAAAATCTGACACAGTGTGACATTTCTTTTTTTAGCTGTTCTATCGGCATTTCCTGCGATCTTCTTCCTGCAGTCAGTCTGAATGAATATGAATAATGGGCATTTCTTTGACTATTTATAGGCAAATATGGGCGTTACGTGAAGTCCGCAAAAGCTGCGCGGCATTTCGAGTTGATTGTGATTTCTAAAGGGAAACCGGCGTAGGACGTGCGTGCACAGTGTTTTATAAATCGGAATATTTGTGTGCGTATTAACTTGCTTTGTCCTACTTACGCCACCTTCCCACGTGAATCCAAAGCTTTATAAATGAGGCCCCAGAACCAACCTGGTCTCACCAGAATGCGTGACTCCACCACGACTCCTTAACACCGCAGTGCGTGGTGGAGTCACGAACTTTGCTACATTTACATGTCGGCACCACGCAAACAACCCCAATGTAAAGTGAATGAGGGTCCTTTATCGTGGTGCACACACGCATTTCTACAACGTCCAGCAGTGAGCTTTTATTATATAAACGTTTTTAAAATCTACTTTATAGCTTGTAGTAACTCACAGGAGGCTTCTTTTATTTTATTTGTATTCATAATCATTTTTATTTTTCGTCAGAATGTATTATGGTGCATTATTCACCAATGTTTGTTCTCAAAAAACAATGCATTGTGTGAAATACAACTGTGATTTTTATTAAATTAGTTAGTTTTTAAGGAAGGCCAGAGCTTCAGCTGTGTCAAAGAGATTGTTCCCTTTAGTTAACGTTATTTAAAAGATAATTATATTCCTATTTGATTAAGTACCCTTTATTGTATTACGGACCCAAAGAGCTGAGCGTCCATTCCCATTGGATAACAGAGGATTGTACACCCGGAAGTAAGTATTCTCCTTACTGTCCATTGATTTTATTTACAGTGATATCTGCACTACTCATCAACTCAAAAACACCAGATTATCCTTGTTAATTACACAACATTGATTGGTTTAAATTGTGTACAATGCTTTTGTATTTTTCCCTTTCGATTCGGAGAAACAAATATTTGTTCGTAGTGTGTGGATGGCAGAAGACCCTACACTACCCAGAATCCTCAGCTATGGGACTACACCATGTGCTTAGAACGTGTCCTACCCCCCCCCCCCCCCTTAGGTCACAGGCTCCTCCAACAGTGCAACACAATAAAACAGATACACAGAAAAAATAGTGCAAGTAAATGCAAAAATAAAAATAGTAAAATAGTAAAAAGTGAAATAGTGCAATTAGAGTCTATATACAAGTGATTGAATATGATATATTAGATAAATAATTTCTAAGTAGCAGCCAGATGAATGTTATGGATGTTGTTTCTAAGTTCAGGTGTTTAATAGTCTTATGGCCTGTGGGATGAAGCTGTCCCTGAGTCTGGTGGTTTTAGTCCGGATGCTGCGGTACCGCCTGCCAGACGGCAGCAGACAGAACAGTTTGTGGCTGGGGTGATGGGGGTCTTTTATAATCCTGAGGGCTTTCTTTAAGGTTAACCTGGTATTTTTACTACATTTATTTTAGTTACTTTACAGATTTGGATTAATGATGTGAAATATAAACAACCCTTAAATCAGACTTTAGTTACACCTGAGTAAAATTCAGTGAAGGTGATTGTCAAGTGCCAACAATCAGGAGAGATATTTGGTAGTGGGTGCTTGAGAAGACTAAAAATGTATCTGCAGATCTCTATAAAGTATATTCATTACTCGTTATTCTCTACTAATAGTTAATTAAAAACTGTATATAATGGCTATTTTGCACATCCCTTTCAAGATTTCAAGATTTTCTAAGGTTTGTAAAGCAAGTCAGTGTTTCCTAAGCTAAAGCAGGTTATAACCAGGGAGCGCCTTGAAATCACCCTGTCAGAGCCGGTTTGTGAACGGTTTGTTGGATATTTTTCCATCATTCTACTGGTCTCGTGTTAAAAACTGCAGCATTTTATTAAACGGGTGGCAGTGGCTCAGTCTGTTGTGCTATATGAAAAATATGTTATACTTATGTTATAAACATGTTATACTTATGTTATATGTTAACACATTCAGCTTTTTAAAGTCTTTTTTTAACATGGAAGTCATTGCAATGCATTTTAGCTGTAACAACTTGATTCAAATCATTTCACTTTTCTGCATAGTGCTAAGTTCAGCAACACACTTACTTGGTTGTTGTAGCTAAAAGCAGCTACCATTCAGCTAATAACATATTCAGCTTTTTCTGCATTTTCAGCTAAATTCAGCCACAAATGTTCACAGTTTACAGCATTCACACGCATTTTCTGCAGGAAATGCATTTTAGTTTCTAATAAGATAGACCCTTAAAATCCTCTTTTAATCCTTAATTAAACAACAAAAGCACATAACACACTCAATGTGAACTCAACAGTCTTTTATTAATGCACATTATTAATCACCTGATGTTTGTCTTTACACATTAATGTGTGTTCCATCCTTTTCATATTTGATTTCAAAATTCATTACATATAAAGATTTAAACATTTCGATTTTTTGTGATAAAAGCAAAAGCAATCAAAGAACAAATCAGAGATCTTGGGAGGCTGTGGCGCAGTGGACTAGCACGTTGGTGTTGGGATCAGGGGAGCACAGGTTCAAACCCCACTGCAGTCAGCATGTCGTTGTGTCCCTGAGACACTTCACCCCAAATTGCTCCTGTGGGGATTGTCCACAGTATTGAGTATGTAAGTCGCTTAGGATAAAAGCGTCTAACAAGTGACATGTCATGTAGTGTAATAAAGATTTAAACATTTCGATTTTTTGTGATAAAAGCAATAGCAATCAAAGAACAAATCAGAGATCTTGGTTCTAGACAATGTGTGACATTTCTTTAGTATTTGGTCAAAACACACAATCCTAGAAATAACTGATATAACTATAAATCACACCAAACAAATACATCAGAAAGGGGACTGAAGATGAACAAGGAGGTTTGGTGAATCTGCTGCTGTCCAGCATCAGAAGGTCAGACTCTCTCCTGCAAAACAACTCAGTTGATAGGTATGATCTAAAAAAGGAATCTATGAAATTGGACAGCCAGGTTTATTTCTCTCAGCTCTCTCAGCTTCCTCTCTGGCCCACCTTAACTCATCTTCTCTTATTCTCATCTTCTCCTCCTCCATTTTTCTTTGATTAGCTTCTCTCCGATTTTCCTCAGCTTCTCTCATTCTCGCCCTCACCTCCTCAATTTCTCTTTGATTAGCTTCTCTCCGATTTTCGTCCTCTTCTCTCATTCTCCTCCTCTCCTCCTCCATTTCTCTTTTGTTAGCTTCTCTCACCTTTTCATCCTCTTCTCTTTTTCTCCTCCTCTCCTCCTCCATTTCTCTTTTGTTAGCTTCTCTCACCTTTTCCTCCTCTTCTCTTTTTCTCCTCCTCTCCTCCTCCATTTCTCTTCTCTGAGCTTCTCTCAGCTTTTCATCTTCTCTCATTCTGTTCATCCCCTCCTCCATTTCTCTTTTGCTAGCTTCTCTCAGCCTTTCCTCCTCTTCTCTCATTCTCCTCCTCTCCTCCTCCATTTCTCTTCTCTGAGCTTCTCTCAGCTTTTCATCTTCTCTCATTCTCCTCCTCTCCTCCTCCATTTCTCTTTTGCTAGCTTCTCTCAGCCTTTCATCCTCTTCTCTTATTCTCCTCCTCTCCTCCTCCATTTCTCCTTCACGAGCTTTTAAATGCCTTTCTAACCTCTCACCTTCCTCTTTGATTTTCTTAAATTGTTCCTCATACTTTTTCTCTAATCTCTTTTCCATTTCCTCTTCCTTTTTGCATATTTCCTCTTCTTTCTCTTTAAGGATTCTCTGTTTCTCCTCTTCTATCTCCCTCTCTGCCTCCTGGAACATTGCACTGGTGTAATGGCTTCCTCCGTTCTTCTTTATTATCTTTCTGATCTTGTCGAGCAGCTCTCTGACCTGAGAACGATCCTTCTCCTTATTATTGAAGACGTGGTACTGCCCTTCACATCTGTTCACAAGTTCCATCAGATCTTTGCTTTCCATCAAGAACTCTTCCATAGTTTGGTCTTCGAGCTGATCACTGTGGGTAAAGAGAACCATGCTGTATCTGTTTGCATCTCCTCCAAAGATTTCCTGAATCTTCTGAACTGTCTGCTTTTCTTCATCTGTGAATCTGCCCAGTCTGATGACGACCAGGAAGACATGGGGTCCAGGAGAAGCAAATTTAATGCTCTGGCCAACATCTTTTCTGGTCTTCTCTTCATCAATCTTGGTGTCAAACAGACCAGGAGTGTCAATAACCTTAACGTTCTGTCCATCAACTTCACCAAAGACATTAGCACAGTCTACAGTCATGGATTTAGAAGAAAACTTTGATTCAAAGGACTTTTTTCCCAGAATGGTGTTTCCTGTGGCGCTCTTCCCAACTCCGGTCTTCCCCACCATCACAATCCGGAGTACCTCGTTATTGTACGTGTTTGATTCTGATCGGTGGGCTGAAAACAATTAAGAAATATTTAGCAATCTAGGTATTTATAAAATGGTTCAACTACAACATGAACAATGTTGACAGTGAGGGGGGTGGGCTCAAGATGGTTTAATAATCTAAAACATGTCTAGAAGCTATGTCATTCAATTGATATTTTTTATTTATTCCTGTAGATGCTATTGTCACCATAGAAAGCATGGTGAATGGCAGGTTTGGTGATAAAGGTACACTGTAAAAAAAACAGTTTTTCCCCCAACAAAGTAACAGTTTTTTTATTGTATTTTATAATTACAAGAATAAACGGTTTACTGAAATGTGTGATGTATTTTAACAAACAAACAAACAAAAAAGTACTGTAGAAATGGAATACATTATTTCTCTGTTTAATAGCAGTTTGTAAATGCAAATTTAACAAAACTAACCGTAAAAATAAATGATTTTCTGTTGGCAAAATTAGCTGCATTTTCTGTAATTTTACTAAAAAACACTTTTGTTATGACTATATATAACTGTCAAATACAAAACAAATACTGTTAATACTCATTTAAAAAATGTATAATTGCAAGAAAATATATGAGTAAAGAAAGAAATGTTTTGTAATTTTGCTTAATTTAACCACTTTACATTGATAAACTGGAAAAACACAGGTATTGACTATCCTATTATGGTAAAAAAAACTAAATTTTAATACATTTTGACTTGTATTTCTTTGAGGATTGAATTGTTAAATATGTGAATTTCAGGTTACAGAAACTGTGTAAAACCATAGAGTTAAAGACACAAAAAAAAACTGACTGTTGGGTGCGAATTCCTACCAGAGCACAATACAGATATAAAATGATGTTATAACCCACAAGTAACAGACTGTGGGTTATATAGGAGACATTTGTCTACGCCATCATTAATCTATAAACTAGCTAAATAAAATAGCTGTCAGCATTCACTTCAGGTAAACCTAATGAGACCATTCACTTGTGATTACTAAGTAGAAGAAGAAGAAGAAGAAGATATACTTTATTAATCCCTCAGAGGGAAATGTCTTGCCCCACTCTGTTGTGTTTAAAAACATTTCACACACAGGGAGGATATACAAGCACTAACAGACAGAGTTCGGTGCGTTCACAACCCAAGTAACATTGACCTGCTGATGTCTTTCAACACAAACAAAGGAGGAAAGTAGCTTTTAGAAATGTATGAATGGACTAAAATGCGTGACTTTAAAGGTCCCATGTCATGGCCATTTCTACTGATCATAATTCCATAATTGAGGTCTACTAGAATAGATTTACATTGTTCAATGTTCCAAAATGACATTGGTTTCTCATACAACATCTCTGTATAGTATGTGTATTCACTCTCTGTCCTAAACGACTTGTTTAGCCACTCTGTTCTGATGAGTCCACCCCCGTTACAGCGGAACGTCATTGATTATGTGTTACAATGGCGTTAGCAAACAGAAAATGACACCAGTAATGACAAACAGATGAGAACAACCTGGTCTCACCAGAATGCATGACTCCACCACGACTCCTTAACACCGCATTGCGTGGTGGAGTCACGAACTTTGCTACATTTACGTGTCTGCACCACGCAAACAACCCCAATGTAAAGTGAATGAGGCTCCTTTGTCGTGGTGCACACACGCATTTCTACAACGTCCAGCAGTGAGCTTTTATTCTATAAACGTTTTTAAAATCTACTTTATAGCGTGTAGTAACTCACGAGAGGCTTCTTTTATTTTATTTGTATTCATAATCATTTTTATTTTTCGTCAGAATGTATTATGGTGCATTATTCACCAATGTTTGTTCTCAAAAAACAGTGCATTGTGTGTAATACAACTGTGATTTTTATTAAATGAGTTAGTTTTTAAGGAAGGCCAGAGCTTCAGCTGTGTCAAATAGATTGTTCCCTTTAGTTAACGTTATTTAAAAGATAATTATATTCCTATTTGATCAAGTCCCCTTTATTGTATTACTGAGAGCAATGTGAGCGTCCATTCCCATTGGATAACGGAGGATTTTACACCCGGAAGTAAGTATTCCCCTTACTGTCGATTGATTTTATTTACAGTGATATCTGCACTACTCATCAACTCAAAAACACCAGATTATCCTTGTTAATTACACAACATTGATTGGTTTAAATTGTGTACAATGCTTTTGTATTTTCCCCTTTCGATTCGGAGAAACAAATATTTTTTCGGAGTGTTTGGATGGCAGAATATACTACACTACCCAGAATCCTCAGCTATGGGACTACACCATGTGCTTAGAACTAGGGCTGTCAGTCGATTCAAATATTTAATCGCGATTAATCGCATGATTGTCCATAGTTAATCGCGATTAATCGCAAATTAATCGCACATTTTTTATCTGTTCTAAATGTACCTTAGAGGGATATTTTTCAAGTTTTTAATACTCTTATAAACATATGGGTGGACAAATATGCTTTATATGTTTGTTTATTATCATTTGAACAATGACAAATATTCTCATGAATATTAAACACAACAACCTGAACATTACAAATATTCGCCTCAATTCAACCTGGAACCTCTCTCATACAATAATACAATACAAAGTGTGTGTGTGTGTGTGTGTGTGTGTGTGTGTGTGTGTGTGTGTGTGTGTGTGTGTGTGTGTGTGTGAGAGAATGTGGAGACACTGTGATGGATCATTGGAGCTATGTGCTCAAGGCATATATGCTCGAACGGGAGCTGCCTGGACGCTGCAATCATGTTGCGCGCACTATCCGTGCTGAGTGTGCTGACTTTTCGTACAATGTCCCACTGTCTGGCTACCTGCATAAAGTCAAGTGCTCGGTGAAATGTCGCTCCTCTGTTTTCATTGAAACAGCTCCTTATATCCGTTAGCGCAGCTAGCTAGCACCATATGCTAACAACAACAACAACACGTAAGGTGTGTCTCGCTCGCCCCACACATACACACACCCTCCCGGTCCTCCCGATGGCCAGTCCGGGCCTGCCGGTGAGCGTGGAAGTGTGGTCTGCCACAAGCGGGCGGCAGGAGCGGGGCTGCCAGCATCAGCTTGTAGATGGTATTTTAAACTCGATGCGCTCTGAAACTACGGGGCGGCCGAGGACAAAAAATACACATGCGTTAATCGCGTTAAAATAATTAGTGGCGTTATTAACGCGTTATTAACGCGTTATTAACGCGTTAACTTGACAGCCCTGCTTAGAACGTGTCCTAACTGGTATTTTTACTCCACTACATTTATTTTAGTTACTTTACAGATTTGGATTAATGATGTGAAATATAAACAACCCTTAAATCAGACTTTAGTTACACCTGAGTAAAATTCAGTGAAGGTGATTGTCAAGTGCCAACAATCAGGCGAGATATTTGGTTGTGGGTGCTTGAGAAGACTAAATATGTATCTGCAGATCTCTATAAAGCATATTTATTACTCGTTATTCTCTACTAATAGTTAATTAAAAACTGTATATAATGGCTATTTTGCACATCCCTTTCAAGATTTCAAGATTTTCTAAGGTTTATTGACATATCATATACACAACTACGGTGTAGTTATGCAATGAATGAAAAACTTGGGTCACAGGTTCCTCAACAGTGCATTACAAGACATCTATCGATATCTGTGTACCTCCACCATTAAACATATTCTGCACATTTCTTATTCTATCTACATATATCTTATAAGAGTATAATTAATATGTATAATATCAGTTAAAATAAGTGCTTCAACATAGTTAACATTGAAGGAAAGTTGATTGTCAAGTTCCAAAACAAACCATGCAATATATTAGACGTTAAGTACTTTGTCAGGCTTAATATCTGTAGATACCCCCAAAGCTTTTTTCTTATTTAAAAGAAGACCTTAACCTAAAGTATTCTTTAATGTTTAAATAAAGCCTTATTAGTTTGTCTGTGTTGCACATCCTCCTATCAGGCACTAAACTGTTTTATTGTAGAGATCACTTACAGTATCTTCTTGATATTTTCTATTCCATATTATTTATATCATTGACCTTCCACTTTCCCACTATATTAAGAGTATGTACTCTTAATATTTAAATGTTTTCATCAAATATAACACATTCAAAAGTGCTTTACAAAAATGAAAGACATTAAGAAAAAGGCATTTTAAACAGTCATTAAAAAGCAACACAATCTACCTGCATTGCATTACTCTAAACGTGTAATAACGTGCTTTAACCAGTAGGTGGTTTGGGTTAAAAAGCTGTCAAGTTTACAGTGTTAACAAAATAAAATATACTGCTGTTTCTGGTTTAGTTTACGACGGATATATTCTGTTATTGTTTTGATATTTGTAACACAAAAGCGATGTAAAAAACCCACAGCAACACAGAAAAGATGGTCTTAACACGACCCAGCGGTCTAGTAGTTAATAAAAAACAATAATATCAAAACAAATTATTACTACTAACTTTATTGTGAAATTAAAACAGAACGGTAAAAGAATAGTTTCCGGTCTATTCTGAGGCCCGATCTCTGTAGATAAATAAAGAACTACGACAGATGTGTAATGTTTAATGCAGCCAAACCATTCATTACAATGCATTCATGTGATGACTTTCAAAGAGTAAAGCAAGCACTGCTGAATAAAGTATGATTTTATCTTTTACGAAACGTTTTTTTTCATATGGAATGCAGTTGGAGGTCAACCAATCACAGAGCTTGAGGCAAAGCGGAACAATAGCTGAGGATTCTGGGTAGTGTAGTGTCTTCGACCATCCTAAACTCTGAACAAATATTTGTTTCTCCGAATCGAAGGGGAAAATTTCAAAAGCATTGCACACAATTTAAACCAATCAATGTTGTGTAATTAACAAGGATAATCTGGTGTTTTTGAGTCGATGAGTAGTGCAGATATCACTGTCAAATCAATCGACAGTAAGGAGAATACTTACTTCCGGGTGTAAAATCCTCCATTATCCAATGGGAATGGACGCTCACATTGCTCTCTGCGTCCGTAATACAATAAAGAGGACATGATCAA